TATATATATATATATATATATATATATATATATATACACACACACAAGGCCTTTTTAACCCTTCTCACACTCTTGCAATATTCTAAACGATATTTCTAAACTGCAAACGCTCTACAAGAGCACAGAATGTCATGATTTCTGTTCTTTGCCACCTGCAAGCGCTCTTGGCCACGCCCACTTCCCCGCTCTGCACGGAGAACAGCTGATCAGCTGCAGCAGGATGCATATCCTGCAGTATGGGCTTCACAAATGTGCAGCAGGTGCTAAATTATTTAAAATAATTCATGTTAAACTAAAATTCCATGCTGATCGTGCAGCTCATCCATCAATCAGCCAATTGTGTGTCACGTCCAATCTTATTTTGAAAAACCGCGATAGAGCGAGTCCGTGAAAAGCGAAGTAGCGAGGAACTACTGTATATTTATTTTGCCTGCAAAGAACTTATCACACATGGGCCTTCAAAAGTGTACTCACATTTAAATATTCCGTGGCTTCAAGTGTGGGAGCACTTCACAGTTAAGCTTAGGCATGTTGTTTTTATGGGTTTACTCATCGGTCAAATCAGTTGTCACAGCAGAGCAGAAGTTCACCTCGCCTCTGATTGACTGGCTTCAGCCTTCCCGTGACCCTGAAATGGAGTAGGCAGGTACTGAAAGGGCGTGTTTTAAGAATATCACCTTTTTTTTAGGTGTGAGCACCTGCTTGGGGTGAACTGGGACCTGAGACAGGAGTTAATGCTGATTGGGGAACACATCATCCCAGACCTTCAGGAAAGGCTGGGGAAACTTGTGCAGGTTCTGATTGAAAGGTAGTGCACACACTGCATCATCCTCCTGCAGCCTTAAAACTGAAGGAACTGATCTTCTTTCTATTTGTTCACTCAAAGATACACTTTGTAAAACTTTGTCTTTTTTATCATTTGTGTAATTTTGTGTCTTTCAGCTCTATTGTAGTAGAAAAACAGCCCCCTCAGGTCATTAAAACTCAGTCAAAGTTCTCCACAACTGTGAGATATCTGCTGGGGGAGAAATTAGCACCAGGGACGCCTATGGTGGTGAAGGCGCAAATTATTAATGAACAGCAAGCCAGAAACTTGGGTAGTTTAACCAGGTAAGTCTGAATCAGTGCATCACAGTGACTTTTGTGGTCCATGCCTTTTTATCTTACGTATAGAGCTCGTAGAAAATAAAAAAATACCATATTTTTTGGATTAAAAGGCGCACTGAATTATAAGTTGCATTAAGTGAAACAAAACAGTCAGATAAGTCAAATTTTATTCAACTCGTTCACAATATCCACATAAAATAAGTTCGAGGTCAGTAAGTACAACCAGAATTAATACATAAGGTGCACCTGATTATAAGGCTCATTGTCAATTTTAGAGAAAATTTAAGGATTTTAAATGCGCCTTATAGTTAGAAAAATACGGTAATTTTTAAAAAGTTTTGGGTTAATTTCAAGAACTTGTGCGTTAAAACTTTTTTTCTAGTATATCACAATGCATAATATATTTAAATGGATTGCTGTAGCTGGATTTTCACTATTTAAGTATAACAGTACAAATCATAACTAGCAATAAGCTCCAGTGAGTGAACTCTTTATACTACTGCAAAAATCTGAATATGTTGTTGTAAAACCATGAAGCTAAAAAATAAAAAAATTCTGTTGATGTAATTTCCTTTATTTAAAAATAGATGCAAAAGTAACTTTCCTGCAGTGTTTTTTCTTTGCTTTTTGTTATTCTGTTTTTTTTTTTTTTTAATGTGGCTACAGGCGTTAACGTTAAAGGCTTGTGTTTGTTAGTTTGATCAAAAGAAAGTTAAGTCCAAACAAAATCATATTTAATTTCTGTTTTTTTCTCTCACATGCATTATAGTTCTTTTAAGTGATTAAAAACTTTGATATTGCTAGTTTTGATACTAAAACTTTGATATTACCAACAGTGAAAACGTCGGAGAAGTGATCAACAACTCAGCTGTTCTCGAGCACAACACAACTACCAGGAGCACGTGCGCCACATTCAGAAACATGGTTGTGCACTGGTCCTCATTTAGCATCACAAGTCCGATCCGTTTTCTGTTACTTTGACCAATTTAATCTCTTATTTTTATTCCACAGTCCATTAAGAGAATCAAGCGAGCAGACAGAAAGGGATCAGAGTCTGTGACTGAGGAGAAGTTTGCTCTGCTGTTCTCCACAGACATCAACATCACAGGCTGTAAAATTCCTTTCAGGATACAGGTTAGGCTTCACCCACATCTTTGTCTGCTTGGTAACACTTCAGTCCATCTTGTTGCTCTGTAACTTAACACAACACAGCAGCAGAAGCACATACTGTCTAACTTTTCTTTCATGCTGACTGACAAAGTACAGTAAACCTAACCTTACTGTATGTCACTGGTTCCAGTTGATCTCTCAGCCAGTGGTGGTCATCGTTCACGGCAGTCAAGACAACAACGCTTTGGCCACCATTATATGGGACTGTGCATTTGCCGAACCAGTAAGTTTAAAGTTATGATTTGGTTTTGAATTCATCTATTTATTCTTTTCCAACTTGCATCCAGGTAATATTTTTGTTATAATATATTAAAATATTTAAAGAGGACATAAAAGTTCTCACCGTGTTGCCTTTTCTGTTGTACACCACCAGGACCGAAGGCCCTTCATTGTGCCGGACAGTGTCCCCTGGAGGTTGATGTCCAACACTCTCAACATGAAGTTTACTTCAGAGGTCCAGACGCAGCACCAACTGCACGACTACAACAAACACTTTTTGGCCGGGAAAATATTTGATAAGTCTGACAGTCCCGAAGGCTTTGACAACATGATGGTTTCATGGGCCCAGTTTAATAAGGTATGTGTAAAAGGGGCGTGTTTTCTCGCACATACATGCACAGACCTTATGCAGGTCTCACAGTGCTCTCAACCTTACAGGAGGTTCTCCCAGGTCGACTATTCACTTTCTGGCAATGGTTTGAGGGAGCAATGGAGCTGACCAAGAAACATCTGAGGACTTACTGGAGTGAAGGGTGAGAGGATGCCACTACCGGTAATTTAAGCAGCCTGTAACAATGTGTTATATTAATCAGTGTTTGCAATGATTGCTCCATTAGGCTGATATTCGGTTTCATCGGAAAGCAGCATCTGCACTTCATCCTCAGAGACAGCCCCAATGGGACATTCCTGCTTCGCTTTAGTGACTCTGAGATCGGTGGCATCACTATTGCTTATGTGTGTGCTTCTGAAAGTAAGTTTTCATTTAGCAACAGTTGTAAACCTTCTTCACCAAAGTTTTTCTTTTCCTAACTGGTTCTTTATTATTTATTTATTTTTTTGTTATTGTTCATCTGCTGTTTGGTTTCATTCTAAAGAGTTTACGTGTCTGCAGAAAAAGTTATTGTAGTAGAAAACATAACTGTCTACGCCAACAAAGTTAAGTCAGGTCCTCTGGATGGTTTCTTTGTGATGAAACGTTTCGTCCTTCATCCAAAGATCCAAAGGACTTCATCAGTCCGAGGAGCCACGACTAACTCAGTCCCACAAGCAGCACATTCACATAGTGGGCCAACCAGTTTGATGGTGATAAGATGGTTTCTGGAGCCCACCCTCTTCCCTGTCGATGACTCTGAGGCAGCCAATGCCAAAGTGGGTCAAAACATTACAATGCAAAAAACAAAAAAAAGTCCAGAGGACCTGACTTAACTTTGTTGGATTTTTGACCTGGATTATTGAGCATGAACTTTGATGTTTTGAACCACTTTGCCTATGGCTGCCCAGAGGAGTTGATGGGGGAGAGGGTGGACTCCAGAAACCATCTTATCACCATCAAACTGGTGGGTCCACAATGTGAGTGTGCTGCTTGTGAGACTGAGTTAGTCGTGGCTCCTCAGACTGATGAAGTCCTTTGGATGAAGGACGAAACGTTTCAACACAAAGAAACCATCCAGAGGACCTGACTTAACTTTGTTGTCTGTTTCACCTGGATTGTTGAGCATGAAGTTTGACAATGGACTACTGTTTGTACAAAGTTGTGTGCATTTTAAAATAATTTTAGTCCATGAAAACAAAGCAAGTTGTCAAAAAGTAACTCTCTGCATAAAATCTGGATTTAAGGGATTATTTGTATGTAATCCAGATTTTAAATGTTATTTATTAGCATTAGTCACCTGCGATGCTGTCTCACTTGTGGAGACTTGTTCCAGGTCCTAGCTGCAGTGTGGGATTTTCTGCACCCTTTGTGCATGAAGGACAGGCTTTTTAAGTTCAAAGTTTTTGTCTATCCATTGTGCCGTTGGTCTAATCATGCTAACGGGGCTAACACGACGTCCAGATGTCTGTGGTAAAACTCACCCAAGTGCTATCGGCTATTAGCTTCTCAATGACGTCGGAAAAGGCAGCTTGTAACTCTGATAATGTTAGATTAGAAAAATATCTCCGACTGGGGGCGATGTAGCGAGGCTCAGCGTACTCCATAAATCTTCGAAATCCGACATCCTCACCAACGAAAAAAAAAATGTCCACACCGCCGACGTTTTGCATTTTCCTCTCCGCCGTGAGATCAGGCAGCCGTGCGTGATGTCATCACGTTGTGCTGCGCTGCAGGCATCCTTGTCACTGGGTTGTCATACAAAAACAGCGCCTTTTATATCGGTGAGTTCTTTTGATGGAATGGCTGATGTCCGATATTGAACTTTAACGCTAATATCAGCCGATACTGAGACCATGCCGATAATATCGTGCATCCCTACTTAAAATTATAGCAAAGGTGTGTCTCATGTCAGTTTCGTGTCAGTATGAATGAAGATTTTAAGCATCAGTCAAAAATTGCATCATGAATATGGAAAAAATCTACAAATCTACACAAAAACTGTGACTTATACGCCAGAAAATACGGTAGTTATAAAGTTTAGAATCACAACACAGCATGCCATGTCTCGTCTCACTTTCCATTGCACGTACACATTTGTTCTGACAAACCTACAACTTGTTTTTATAGATGGGGGACGGCAAGTCCAGAACATCCAGCCTTTTACTAAGAGAGACCTGGAGATACGCAGCCTCGGTGACCGCATCCGAGACATCAATGAAATAACATTTCTGTACCCCAACTATCCTAAACATGACGTTTTCAAAAGACACTACTCAGGTGACGATCTGCACAATGTCCTACCTCAGAGTCAGCTTAATATATTTCAGTTAAGAATAAAATTTTATTTTCTTTGTTTTTCTTGTTTGAAACAGGGCCTCAGCAGCCAGCTTTTCCAGGCTACATCCCCGTGACTCTCCAGACTAAAGTTGGCATGTAAGGAGTTTGAGTTTTAAAAGTTGGTTGAAACATAAGTAATATGTTTAGTAGGTGTTCAAATGTTTTAAGGAAACTGGAACCATCTGCATGTGTGAATGTGTGTGTTTCTGTGCAGGGAATCTACACTTCCAGCCGCTAATATGACACAGCCTAACACTCTTCCCACTGGCTTAATTGGGTAGGTGACACTTGTTTTCCACTTTCCTACTATGTTGGTTTTTAGGTGAATATTATTGACATTTATTATTAAAAGACTCAACAACGTAACCTGGAACTTGATGACAAAACTGCAGGAGCGCCCCCTGTAGGCCGACTGCAGTATAAGTTTTAGTTGGAAATTATTGACATTTCCTTGAATTAAAAAAAAATAATGGTTTTAAGTAGGGTGGGGGGGTGGGGGGGTTGGGAATAAACTGGACTTCTAGCCTCGCCTTAGTGCACAAATTCTGACTCCAATAATACAACATACACCCTTAAAACTGATGCCATGGCTTCAGATTTAAACAGGAGGTGTAAACACTTTGTTTGTATCCACACATTTAGATTTGATTTCTCCAGGAGGCTCGTGGAAAGATTTTTCAAAATCAAGATTCCTAAAAATTCTAAACGTGAAGAGAAAAACTTGGAAAATTCCAAGTCCTGCATACATTTTTTATGTTAATTATGTTGTTTTTATATTAAATGCTTTATTTTGATGCACACTAAGTGTATTTGTATGCTAATTTTCTTGTAAAATTTTCATCCATTAAAAATATTTACAAAAACAAAGTTCAAGGTTTCGACTCAGATTTAATTATAGACTTTTTCTATTAAATGGGAATATTTTTTATTTTAAAGGTTAAAAAAGAACATACTTCACTGACAAAACTGGCTGTTCTTGCTTTTTTAAACTAATGCAGCCAAAGTATGAAAATGAGTTGTGTGCTGAAATGTTTGACTGGTCATGTATTTATTTAAAAAAAAAAAAAAAAAACCCCTAAACATTAATAATTTTTTGTCTGCCTTATAATAAATATTTCTGTGCTTGCCTTATTGCTTATTATCTGCTGTTTTTTTTTTCTTTCACTTTACTGATGCTGTATTTACATATTTGTGCAGGGATGCTATTTCCCCGACTCATATGCCAAACATGGATGGCATCCCCATGTAAGTGTGACTTCAAAAGATGAATTTCTTTATTACAGATGTCTCCTACTAATCCTGTTTTCCTTTTAACTTTAAAAATTATTTAAAAAATCTAAACAATTAAATCGTTATGATAGTAATTTATGTTTACCCACATATTGAACAAGATCATAGTTAATCTGAGTTGATTTGAAGGTAAAACTGGAAACCTTTGGGAGGATATCATATTGTCATATATGTAATGTGTGTGTGTGTGTGTGTGTGCAGGGACTCCACACTTCCACCAGACAATGCACCATCAAGCTTTCTAAAGTAAGTCAAATTTTATTTGCATTCCACCTTCTTCATACTTACTTGGTGGTACTTACATACCGCCAGTACTTACTTACTTACTTACTTGTACTTACTGACATACCACCAGTACTTACTTACTGTCAGTACTTACTTACTTACCGCTGGTACTTACTTACTTACCGCCAGTACTTGCTTACTTACCGCCGGTACTTACTTACTTACCGCTGGTACTTACTTACTTACCGCCAGTACTTGCTTACTTACCGCCGGTACTTACTTACTTACCGCTGGTACTTACTTACTTACCGCCAGTACTTACTTACTTACCGGTACTTACTTACTTAATGGTACTTAATTACTTACTTACTTACCAGTACTTACTTACTTAACGCCGGTACTTACTTACTTACCGCGATACTTATTTACTTACCAGCACTTACTTACTTATCGATCCTTACTTACCGCCTGTACTTACTTACTTAACGGTACTTACTAACTTACCAGTACTTACTAACTTACTTATCAATACTTACTTACTTACAAGCGCTTACTTACTTACGTACTTAACAGTACTTATTTACTTACTTACTAGTACTTACTTACCGATAATACTTATTTACTTACCAGTACTTACTTACTTACCACTGGTACTTACTTACTTATCGGTACTTACTTACTCACTTACTTACTTATTTATTTATTTGTAACTGTAAGCATGTAGAAAACAATTCTCTATTTGCTGGGGCCTTTTATATTTGGCTATTTAGATTTGTTGTCTACCCCTGAGAAATTCAATATAAGCTGTAATGTTCAATAACATCAGTTGTCTGTGTCTTCACACACGTCCCATCAGGCATTTAGGAATCAAACCGTTATATTTTCTTTAAATGTCATTCCAAGGGTTCAGTTAGAAACATGCAGGCAAATTTGAAAATTTAGTAAAATTTCTATCCTCATGTTACTTTTATGGTGGTTCCAAAACAGTTGTTTGGAGTACGACTTGCTTTCAAGTTAGGCTGTATTGTATGTGTGTTTCTGAACCCAAACTATGACTTAGTGTTTGTTCTCAAACTGAATAACGTCTGTTATCAAATCTGCACACTCAGATGTAGAAAACTGAGGAGACAGGCTTCGTTATGTGACCCTCGGGAGGCTCTGTGTTTCAGAAACAGTGATGGTGCAGCCCATTGTCACCTTGTCTGCTAGAAACCCAAACAACTATTTCACTTTATCCTGATCCTTTCAGCATTAAACTGTAATTTTCTGCTTAACAAGTAAATTACTTAAGGAAAGTTGTACAAATATCAAAATAAATAGTTCTGAGGTCATCTTTAGCCTATCTAAATATGTTCTTCCTTTGTGTTTTTGATTTATATGGATATTCAGTGTTTTTGAGAGAATGCGTAGAGAAAAAAAAATCTGTTTAAAACAAACTCTTATTTCTGTTCATCTACACCAGGTGAGATATTAATAGTTCATAACATTTCCACAGAACTCCTGTTAGAAACATCTGAACAGTCGCTTTAAGAAAATGTCTGTATTTGTTTTCATTACTTTACTGACTATATGAAACTTTTACTTCCATGTACAGTGGGGGCATTTCCTCGACTGATCTGCAAGTCCTGAATTTGTAAGTTTAACTTTTAACACGCCTGCTCAACAAATGATCGTCCTTCTGCTTTTCACTTTACTGACTATTCCACTTTTCACAGGTGCAGTGATGGAATTTCCCCACAACCCATGTAAGTGTGACCTCCTCATTTATTCACCTACTTTCATGTCCAGTTTCTAGTGGTGAAATCTGAATCACTATGAATTTCTTCTTAAAAGAGCAAAAATGTATTTTCTCCATACGTTTGCCCGACTCCTCTTCACTGCAACTTTATCTCAAGATTTATGGTTATTACTTCAAAACAAATTTTAGCTCATTTTACTGTAAAAACAACACAACAGCAGAACTTTTGTATTAATAGTTTTTAACATATTGCAGTCTGATGAGACCTCTCAGAATAGACTCAAAAACAGGTCTTGAAGACTGAAATTTAAGGTCTCTGCTTCTTCTTGCAGGCATCAGTTCCCGCAACCGTTTGATTCGCTGGATATTGTCAGCGATACAAAACATCCTGGTAATTCTTCTGTTTTTCCTTTGCTCAAGTAGGTTTTTACTTCTTAATGTCTTTTTATTGATACATTATGACTTTTTACCAAAAATACTTTGAGTGTACTAAGTAGTCGATTTGTGTGTTTGTCTTCTAGTCATTCAGACACCAACATGGGCTATGAATTTTGAGGACCTGAATTGTTAGAAAAATCTTCAGCATGCTGTTTTTTTTTTTTTTTTTTTTTTTTTTGGATCTCATGGCCACCATCAAACCAGATAACTCCAGTGCTTCTATTATTTTTCATCTTAAACATCTACGTTCAAGCAGAGACCGAGTCAAGACCGAAACCCGACTTGAGCGTTTCTGTTGTTTTCTTCTTTCACTTTGAATATCTACAGTTTGATCTACGTCTGAGAAATAAAATATAAAGGTGAAACATCAGCCTGAGGTAGAGCCAGGAGATTGCAAAGGTGGCCGTTGCCCTCAGACTTTAAGGTGCTCCCCCGCAGGCCACCCCACACAGCCATTGGAGAAGATGGATGCATTTGCATCATCTTCCTTGAATGTCATTACAATCAATACTGAGCACTTAAATATAACACTTACATTAACAAACCTATCAGTGAAATCCTGAAAATGCATTATGATACAAAGGAATGGAATTTATAAACTTAAATTACTCCATTTTGTCAGAAAATGTTTTTTTATTCTACAACTTTTATCACAAGGGAAATTTGTTTAGCAATGTCATGTTTAATTGTTAGGTTTTTATTTCTGTTTCATGTTTGATTTGGCGATTTTTATTTTATTTTTTGGCCAATCTTTAAGTTTAAATCTTTAAGCACAATTCTATAACTGTGTTAGACAGCAGCACCTCCTATCTCTCTTGCGTGCATTTTCCTTGCCGTGATTCACACACAATTGGCTACACACGCGGGAATTTATCCTTGCTGTGCAAAGCACAGAAAAATGAATGCTCATGGACACTCTGTCAGTGCTGCTGTTTTATTGATCCTACGTCAAGGCTATTCAACTAAACTGCTCAGGGGGGCACAGTTTCTGAAAGCCAGCAGCTCAGGGGCCAGACATCCAGCAGTTAAAAGTCAGTATGTACCGGTAAATAAACCAAGTATTACAACGATCTGTTACCTTTTAAATTGGTTTGTTTTATTGCATTGGATCATAAATGCAATAAACAGAACCCAAACCCAGACCCCCCCCCAAAAAAAAATCTTATGAACTCATTGGTGGGCCGGACTGAAGTTACCACCAGTTGAATAGCCCTGTCCTACGTCATGGGACTTGCTGAAAGTTTATGATGAGAAATCATTTATCTCACCAGACCGACGGATGATAACATATACGCCATGCACTTCTGTATGGCGGTCTTGCCTGTCTGTGTAAATAAGCAAAATGTTAATATAAATGGAGTATTTTACGGCTATGTGACATATCTGTACCATCACAACAAGATCACAGGAGTGGTGGACTCGGCCGTCACCGTAAACATTAGCCACTGGACTCAACACACTGAGCTGCAGCTGAAAGCAGAGTTTTACTTGTGGATTGTTGTCTGTGCCTCATTGTGCTCTTCCTAGAAAAGCGTATCAAGTTTGTTTATGAGTTTCTTTTGCGTGCCTTGTTTGTGTTTTTGGTAAATCAGTGACTTAATGAGGTCGGAGAGCTATCCTCTTCCAAAGCCAATTGTGCGTTTTGACTTACTGTTGCACTTCTTAGAGATGCCGAGACAAGTTTATTGAAATAGCAATTTATAAATATATAACCATAAATTTTATTACAAACACTTGGCCGTGCCTTATATGTATAGGTCACATGTTAATGGACATTTAGCCTCATTGTAGTATACAACAACATGGTAAATAATGATCCGGGGTTTGGCTGAATTAACAAGAAGTAGGGCTGAAAGGGTTTTTTAATCAGGGTGATGTGGTGAAGGTGGTGGGCAAAGCTTTATTTGTATAAGCCATTTATAAAGTCATGTTTGCTTTTTGTTCACTTCATTTATAAAGTAAGCACTAGCTGCTCAGTCTCAGCTGATATATTTAGCCTTTTTGTCAACTTTATATACAGTGTTCAAAAGTTCTTGGTTTGATTATTATTTTACCTTTTAATGTCCTAAAACTCTCACATAAAAGGAAAAAAATGTGTATAGGGGGTGAGGAAGGGGACTGCTATTTAAGTTTCAAAAACTTAAGTCATTTATTTTGTATTTGTTGGTGTAAAAAAAAAAAACGTGCTTGCAAAGATTTAAATTACATCTTGAGAAACGGTACAAGTTGAAATCTAAAAGATAAGTCCCTTTAAAAGAAATATTATTCTACTGATATCTGGTTTCTGCCGTTTTAATTTACTACTGAATAACAAAAATCAGTTTTCCTCATAATGGATAAATAAATCTGCTTTTATGAACAGATTTCACCACCAACCATTGCTTTTGCTGCTGTGCATGTAATAAAATGAGCATGAGCAATGTTCCATGTGACAGTGCTATTCTTGTTGTAGTTCACTGTGATGACAAATAAAATTTCATTTTTAGTCTTGAAACTGACAAATGTCTATTTATTTATGTGACTTCAGTCTTTTTGCTTTAAGTCACAAAAATCAGAAAGCCCTGTCTTAAATTTAAGACATTTTTCTTTCTTTAAGAGCAACAGTTGTGTCACAGAAATACCTTTGCGAGTTATGTAAATTATTTAGGCAGCAGAAGTTACAAATAACTACCGGTACTTAGATGGAAGAGTGTGGCCTATTAAAAAAAAACAAGAATACTTTAAAATGGAATAATTATTATATATATATTTAACATAGAAATTATAAATCACGGGCATTTTGAGTAGCAAAGTGTTACGATGGGCATCACTCCCACTGTCTATTACCCAAAGATGAAACATTGCATAGCCAGTATAATAAATCTACAACCAAATTTTAATTTTTCTCTTTGACAAATTTTTTACACTGTACATTTTGAAGCTCTTCCATTAGAACCCCAGTTTGAATTTGAACATCGTTAAATATAAACTATTCAAAAATTGCCATAGAATCATACTGAAAAAGTTATCTGCAGAGTAAGGTGAACAAGAATCCACCTCCATACCAACAGCTGTAAATGTTACTTTGGCAGAACGTGACAACAGCTTCTACAAAAATAAAATGCAGTGTGGTGAATAAAACGAGGATCTTAAGCTTCAAAAGTTTTCTTATTTAGGCTGCAAGAAAATAAACGTGTGCATTGAGCACCCTGTGCAGGCACACTGATGATTTAAGCCACATTGCAATGATTTTTTTTCCTCATCCACTAAATATCAAATTTGAGTTGTCTTTAATCTCTACAAACCACTCAGCAGAGAGCAGAACAGACTGTTACAGAAAAAAAAACACACAAACATGTGGAATAAAATGTGACCTTAAACACGTTTTGCACGTGCCTGTGTGGATTTGGAACAAAAAGTAATTCAACACCATTTTTTTTTAATTCAAAACGTAATTTTTCCTTTAAAAGAGCAGCTCTAGGTGCAAAATCACAAATTCAAATAGCTAACTTATCTTACAAAAAGACCAGTTTCTTTGTATTTCTTGTTTATTTTTTGTTCATTTTCATATAAATATTTTTTGATGGGTACTTCACTACATAAAACACGAAATCTGAGCAGTCTGAAATGGTCTTCAAGTCTTGACTGAAATGCAAAGGCTCCAAACAGAAAAGTTGTTGCACTTGTAAATTGAGTTTTTGTGGTATTGGTGAAAAAGAAAACGGCAGCATTTTATCTGTGTAAAAAAAAAAAAAAAAGTATAGTAACTCAAAAGAAAAACACAAAACAGACCAACTGTAGCAAAGGAAACTGAAAAAAAGTCAATTAAAACAAGCACGCAAGCATACACATGTGCACAGACACGCAGGCACACTCATTCAGTCTTTTTGTGGCACTATCACACTCGTGCATGCACGCACACACATACAGCTAAAAAAATAGAAGTAAAAAACAATACTGAGACACAATTTCTCCAGAGTTCAATAAACAGAACAAACAAAAGGCGAGATCACACTGAATCAAAAATGGAAAAGCATGCAGAAGTCCACTGCTCTAATGTAGCTTCACTCCTAGCAGACTACAAAATAGAGAGAAAATTTAAATTAAAAGGAAAAATAGAAATAATGAACCCCTGTCCCGAGCAGTTAGTCATCCAGGATCGACTCCCCACACCACAGGACTTAGAGGGCTTCCTTCAGTCCTTTTCTAACCCTCCATCTCTGTCCTGCATTCCAAAGTGGGTAAAGAAGAGAATGACGGGTGGGTAGTGGAGAAATAAGACATTCAGGGCTGTGGGAGCCCTTTCACTGTGGTGCAGATACAAATGCAGAGCCAAGAAAACAAGGGGGTTTGAGCTCTATCCTGTGTGAAGAAAGAGGAGGGGGAGGTATGTCTGCAAAAACAGTGTGTGGGCTGAGGATGGACCAGGATCTGAGGGTGCAGAGCGGGTGGGTCAGAAAGCCAATCTTCATCTTCAGACTTATAGGGCCTGTGTCTTGAGCTCAATGGACTCCCCCCTGGTCTCTTGCTGGGCCTCTGGGGACCGTGTGCCCTTCAGTGTGGCAAGTCTCTCGGACATATCGCGCACACGGGGGAACAGCAGGAAGTCGTACAGCAGGGCACCTATAGCTGCACCAATCATGGGCCCCACCCAGTACACCTGGAAAAAGCAGAGAGCAGTGAAGTTGATTATGACTTTGACTTTGATTTGCAAAAGCATTTCCAGATCTTACCCAGTGGTTGACAAAATTCCTGACGAGGACAGCTGGTGCAAAGGACCTTGCTGGATTCATTCCTGCTCCGGTGTAGTACATCTACGAAACAGGAAGTCAAAACGATGAAGCTCAAGAGCAGTTGCAACTTCCTACACCACAGGTTGACTCTTACCCCTAGAAGATGCCCCAAGAGAACAGAGAAGCCTATAGCCAGAGCAGCAGAGCCCAGGCGTCCGTTGCGCCTCTCATCCGTCACAGCAAAGACGCAGACAACAAGCTGGAGGGTGAGGAAAATCTCAATTGTGGTGGCCATGCCCAGGCTGATGCCCGGCTGCAGCTGTAGCAGAGAAATCAAAACCGATAAAATGAAAGGTCTGAGCTCATGACGAAAAAAGCACGTTACGTTACAACTGACCAGAAATAAAAAGTAAACATTGTCATCTGAATCCAGTGATTGTCTAGGTGATCTTACTGTGTTTAGAGCCAAGTTTCCCTTCATGTTGCTGGGTGTGACCCCGTACAGCACAGCAGCACCAGCCAGGGCTCCGAGACACTGAGCTATGATATAGAAGAAAGCCCGGAACAGGGACATCTGAGATCCGATCAGGTAGGCAAAAGTAACAGCTGGGTTGATGTGTCCTCCGCTGATGTGGCCAATGGATTGGATGAAGGTGGCGGCCGCCAGTCCAAAGCAAAAAGCAACATGAAGAACATTGTGGAGCCCGCTGGTCCAGCGGAGGGCAGCACCCAGTCCAAAGAAAACAAAGAACATGGTGCCGTAAAACTCGGCAAACACCGCCCTCCAAAAAGACATAGACCTGAACTCCCACATGGTGCCACGCAGTCTAAAAGCAACGTCTAAACGGAAAAGGGCTGAAAATCAACAGAAAAAATTAATCAAAGGGAGATGATATACTAACCAACTAAATTCTCCTCATACAGAAACTATCGCTCATCTGAAACCCAACAACACGTAAACAGTTCAACATGTAACTATTAATACGCTGCTTTATATTCTAAATTCTAATTTTGTCATAAAGAGCTCCTGAGTGGAGCAGATTGCCAGTCTCTGTGCATCTATGTTCCAGCTGTGCAGGTTGTTAGGAAAAGAACATAGATGGACAAACGTTAAGCATGTCCTGCAGACATTAAGCCTCTTTATCAGAGCAGGGGGGGATCTCAGAGGCCTTTTTATAACACGCCAATGCCATGACAGTTGCCACTGAGCCAAGGGGAGGGGTCAGTGCACAATATTACAAACCAAAACAAAATCCTTTAACCCTTGTCTTGCTAGTCGTATGGAGAGCTCTGGACTTGGACGTGCAGCTTGAATGTTTAAAGAGAGCTGCTAGTATTTAAGAGAACTTAAGAAGTAAATAAAATCTGAACAAAAACTGAAAGTTGATGCTATTTAATGCTCAGAAAAATAGATGATTGGGAATTTCTGGATATTTTTTGGCTCTTTCTTTAGTTAGCTAACCACTGATTGACTGTGGGGAATGGGGCTCTTGTAGTTAACAGGTTGAGAAAAGCAATAAGCAAAAGACTGGCAGAAATGCACAGCTGACTATGAAGTCCTGCCTTAAGGGAAAATTGCTCCTTTTTTTTTAAAGAAAAGGGAAAGCTGTGAGGAAATGGTTGGCTGAACTTCTGAGACAGTAAAGGTGGAGCGCAGTGACCTTTTGCATTCATCACTGGAACATTTTCCAAAGCGCAGACTTCACATCCGTACACTTTCAACGTCTAAATTGTTTTCACTCATTTGCAACGTGCAGCAAAGATGAGCTCCTATCAAAGCTGAGAGCTATGAAGCCCGAGTAAATTCTAAAGTTCTTAACTTGTGCCCAAGATTGGTACAGAACTGATTAGACAGAGTTTCACATTGTGTTTGGTGGGTCCATGGGGAGGCTCACATCAGATAAAGCGGTGGAAAATCCACGGCTGCAGAGGAAGAGGGGCGAGCAGGCCTGGCATTGAGCTTCTGCACTGGAGCGTCATGCTGACCAGGGCAGCTGCAGGGATGACCACAGCACTCTGAAAGGGTTATGCTGAGCTCACGGCTTTTGTCCTTTCATGCATGGAAACAAAGGCTGGCAGTAACAGTTTCTCTTCGTTTCTATGATCTGTTTGCCTGGTAGTTGTATCTGTTATTGCCATAATCGAGAACAGCAACATAAATGTTTTCAACTTATTGATGTACATTTTCCAGACTTGTTTTGAAGTAGAATTAATATATATTAGTTTTTAAATCTTTTTTTTAAACTGTACATTTAATATGGACAGGCAATTTGTTCTTAACTTAAAAACATTAAAACTTGTAAATGGTCTGTATAGCGCCATTCTATCTTATCAAGACAATCTGTGCCCTCATGTACCCATTCATACAGCACTCTACTAGATCTCTACAAAGAAAAATCAGTGCTTTATCACATTCATACTCCGATGGGACACATAGGAGGCAATGAGGGGTTCAGTGTCTTGCCCAGGGACACTTCGGCATGTGACTGCTGGAGGAATCAAACCCTTAACTCTTACATTGGAAGTCAACTGCTTTAACCACTCAGCAACAGCCGCCCAACAGCCAATCGATTAGTTTGTAAATTGGTGAATCTACTGTGATGACCATTTGGCTCGCCTCACAACTCCCTAAGCCAGCTATTGTAATTTTAAGCCTACAGTTTAGTTTTCCATTGGCGGGTTTTGAAAATATGCTTGCATTGTGTTTTTCTGCTCTTGTGGTCTAGACTGCTGACACATACATAACACCCACACCCTGAACGTCTCACTCTGGATTAGATTCACTTTCCTAGAACAACGATAGAGTAGCAGAAAGCACCTAATATACAAAACGTAGAGGGAGAAAAACTGAGTAGAAAAAATAAAGTAGGTAAGGTATAGTTCTTTAAATGAACAACTTTTGTTTTATGAATCCGATATATTTTTTAATGTGTCATTTTACACTAATTCAGTTTATACACAGAATATTTAACAGCTGTGCAACTCATGGATGGTTAGACAAATCCTGAACCGGAGGCCTTGGAATATCTTAGCCGTGCTCTTGTGGACGGTCTTCTGAGGAGACTCAGGTTCTTTAACATCTGCAGGACCATGCTGCAGATGTTTTACCACAGTGTCTTCTTCTACACTGTGGTGTGCTGGGGCAGCAGGGTGAAGAAAGCTGATGCCAACAGACTTGATAAACCCATGAAGAAAGCTGGTTCTGCTCTGGGAGTGGACCTGCATCTCTGACAGAGGTGTCTGAGGATGCTGAGGAAACGGCTCCAGATCCTGAACAACACGTCACACCCCCTGCATGCCACACTGGACTCTTACCGCATCACCTTCAGTCGTAGACTGAGACCACCGAGGTGCTCCACAGAACAACACAGGAAGTCCTATCAAACTTTTCAACTCCTCCCCCTTTCTGCACATAGGATAATAAAAAATAATCCTGCACAATAATCAATCAACCTTTATTTATACAGGTAAATCCCATAAACACTTTGTTTTCACATTAAAATATTTCATACAGACATTTCACTTTCACACATCTGCACCTGACCTGTTTAGATCTTAATTGCTGGTATTTTTATATTACTTTTTTTTTTTAATATTCTGTTATTTTTTGTGCAATTCCTTGCGTATAGCCATTTGTACTGAAACTATGACACAACAATTTCCTGTGGTATTAATAAAGTTCTATCTTATTTTATCTTAGTCATTTGGAATTGCTATCACCACTGTCTCCTTCTCCTTCTTGTTGACCATCACTCGTTTGTCATTCTGCATCTGAAGTCCCACAGTAATTTGCACCAGCTCTGGTGGTTTCTTTGACTGTAGGCCCTCCAGTCCATACTCAGCAGATATTACTGCAAATGATTCTTGGTAATAGTATACTGTACCATGTTTGATTTACGTCTGTATCTTACTTGATATGCTGAACTGCCTGCTATTTTGGCACAACCTACATCTTTGGTCCTTTTTGGTGTGGCAGACCCCAGCCTCTATTGTTCTTGTGCTGTTATTAATGTCTGCAGTCCTTCAGTTCAGCACTGGTAGGACTTGTTGATTTCAGCCACTTCTTCAGTCCACCTGTGGTATATGCCGTCCAGCTATCCATGATGGCTCCTCTTCCACATTAGGTTCCTGCTGTCTAACACACTAAGCAGTTCATTATTGGGGGATTTCTTCCTGATGAACTTAAGGATCTTTTTTGTTTCATGTAGTAGTGGCTTTGACACTCTGGTCCTATTCCTCCCCTTCCTTAGTCTCGAGGTGCTGAACTTCGGATTTGAGCTTTCATATCTTGAAATGTGGCTTCTATCCCCTTTGGCCAGACTATTTACTATTCAGCTGGCTCTTCAGGACCTACCTTGGTCTTTGTGACTATAACCATGTAATATGTATGGAATTAAAATGGGAGACCAAGAACTTACACAGTAAAATCATTACCAAATTTCTCCATAAAGAGGAATTTCAAGTTCTATTTCATATAGGCTTCGCCCTTTAAGGCTGTCGCTGATGGTTTATCCCGTTATGCGCAGCATAAGCACTGAAAAAAATTAGTCCACGCCCACCTGCTGTGTGGGCCCCACCCGGTCCGTATAAATTACGTTAAGAGCGGGAAATCCCACTGTTGGGAATGACGTCATCAGCTCACACAGTGGTCCCGCTGGGTTTGTTACACATGAGACGCCTCCAGAGGTGGTTTACGCGTCTGCGTGTGGATCCAGTAAAACAAAAGAGACGGATGATCACTGTCCCTCCCTCCATGGGAGCAGACCTCCGACACTGGGGAAACACCCTGGCTCTGTCAGAGGGAGTCCCCGTCAGCAGACCCACGTCACGTGTCAGTCTTCACGGACGCGTCTCTGTCAGGTTGGGGGGGGGGAACATGCCTATCTCAAGCAGTAGGGGCACTGTGGCCCCACCGCACATCAGCCCACATCAATGTTTTGGAGTGTCGCACAGTGCTGAATGTGATTCAACACTTTGCTCCCGTGCTACAGAATCAACACGTGTTGATTCACACAGACAACATGGTGACTGCTGCGTACATAACCGCCAGGGGGGTGTGCGTTCAGCCCAGATGTTACACATTGCGCGGAAGCTACTGAGTTGGGTTCATCAAACCTGCTTTTATTAGAGCGGTTTACATATCCGATGTTCTGAACAGAGGGGCTGATGTGACGTCCAAGGGCGGCCCACGTTATGTGGACCGGATCCTCCATCCGGATCTGATGTTTTTCAGACACAGCAGAAGTTGGCAAAGCAGCTGTGGACCTGTTTGCGACGCGAGAAGAACGCGCAATGTCAACTACGGTTTTTTCCCTGAGCCCGCGAGACGATCCATCGCTGGGGGGGGACGCATTTGCTCACAGTCGGTGGCCCAAAACGCTTTTTACGCGTTTCTTTTCCCTCACCTCCTCTGTTTTTTTACGGTCCATTAACCGAGTTCAGGAGGAGGGATTGACAGCTCTCCTGGTGGCTCCCGGCGTGTGAACGCACTATGGTTCCCAGGCCTGCAACGTCTGTTGTGGGGTCGCCGTGGAACTGTCGTGGAGGAAGGATGCTCTCCTTCAGGCAGGAGGAGCGACCAAGAGTTACCCAGAAATAGGTCAACACCGGTGGGTCTGACCGCTGAGCGGTCCCACTTAGAGGATGGGTCTCCCTCAGGAGATAGTGTGCACAATTCAAGATTCACGTGCTGCATCTACCACAGTTCTGTACACATCAAGGGTACGGCTTTTCAGCGCTGGTGTACAGAGAAGTTTTAGAGACCACTTCATGCCTTTTAGGCAGCGTGTTGTTTTTCTACAACACCTGATGGATAGGGAGTTGGCTTTCAGTACGCTTTAACGTACGTTGCAGTCATCTCTTCCTGCCACAAAGGTTTTGGAGACAGAACAGCTTTTAATCACCCGCTGATGAAGCGGTTTCTAAAAGGTGTACAGAGAGGTAGGCCTGTTTCATGCCCACTTGTTCCACAGTGGGATTTAACGCTGGTCCTGCGAGCCCTGATCAAAGCTTCAATTGAGCCTCTGGATCAGTTTTCATTTAAATTCTTGTCTCTTTAAACAGTCCTGCTGCTGGTTTTAACACCCGCTAAGAGGGTAAGTAATTATCTGCCCTCTCTGTTGTTTCGTCATGCCTTAGAATTAGGCTGACGGGCAGCTCAGCTGTTTTAAGACCAACCCAGCTTTTATGCCTAAAACATCACGAGCTCTTTTTAATCAAGAGTGATGTCGTTGGAGGGGTTCTTTTCCCCCCCACAGATCAGAAGGGGAAGCATCTGTTCATCTTCTCTGCCCGGTGCAGGCGTTGACGTGTTACGTAACGCGCACAGCTGCAATGCGTTCAAATTCAACAATTGTTTGTGCATTATAGAGATGCTTCTGCAGGTCGCCGTTATCCATCCAGCGCTTGTCACACTGGCTGTGTGAGGCCTTTTTTTCTGAAGCCTACAGAGCATCAGATTTAGGGCCTCCTGTCAACCTCTAAGCACACTCGACCAGGGGTATCGCATCTTCGACTGCTCTGCATAATGGTATGTCAATGCAGGACATTTGCACTGCGGCTGCATGGTCAACACCCTGCTCATTTATTCGCTTTTACCTACGTGATGTAACGGCTCGTTCCATGACACATTCTGTCCTTAGTGCTCTAACAGAATGAATATTGTTGTTCTCATGGAACTCTGTTTAAGCTCACTTCTGTCTGCATGCATTACAGTGTGAGATGTTGTTATCAGTCACAAGTCGTGTCTGTGATTTTGGTTCTATTGTCACTAATCAGTTCATGACTATTGTTACCAATCAGTTCATTTGATTATTTATCAATTCATGGACATTAATCTGTTTATACTGTTCAACCATGAACCAGTTGGTTCATGCCCCCCTCCCCCCCCTCTTTTCAACTTCCTCTTCCGTTGAAAGTTTTTCCGGGGTATTCATGTTTGTCAGAACGTATAGTTACACAACATGCGTCTGTGCATGGCACATAATTACGCGATGCGTAGTTTATGCACACGGGGAGCTGAGTGACAAGACGCTTTTTGGGCAAGCTTCCGCTTCTTACTGTGTTCGAATGGACCCAGTGAGGCGAGGACCACATCCGCTTCGCCCTTAAACCATCAGCGACAGCCTTAAAGGGCGAAGCCTATATGAAATAGAACGTTGGTTACGTACTGTAACCCCAGATTCTATGAATATAGGCGTAGCCCTTTAAGCGTCGGGCCTCACTGGCTCCTAAATGGCTGAAGAAAAAGCTATTTTGGGAGCCGATTTCCCGCTCTTAACGTAATTTATACGGACCGGGTGGGGCCCACACAGCAGGTGGGCGTGGACTAATTTTTTTCAGTGCTTATGCTGCGCATAACGGGATAAACCATCAGCGACAGCCTTAAAGGGCTACGCCTATATTCATAGAATCTGGGGTTACAGTACGTAACCAACGGTTTATTGCTAGTGCAAAAACGATGGAAATCCCCAGATCTATTGTTCATAGTTCCCTTCAACACTTACAGGCAGAAGAGAACAGGTTCCTCTTCTTGATTCCAATCTTGCAATTTTTTAGTGTAACCATATATTTTTGAGCCTTGTATGAGCAGAATTACAAAGACCAATAATTTGTTTTTTTCATTTTTAAATGAATATGGTCTCACTACCTAAAACAAAGCAGTTTGACACATTGAACACAAAAGCCTTCAAAGTTCACATATGGGGTATTCAATAAACATTTACCTTCATTAAAAAACACAAGGGTAGACTAGATGGGTTTCTTTGCACCTTATTAGGCATTGTGATGGCTATGTTAGAAGAAAACGTGAACGGTTTTGAAGACAAAAAAGTGACTACATGAAAATAATTAACTTGAAGAGTAATCACACCAGTTTTAAGTAGTACAAGCATCTGTTTATTTTAAATGATGCAACATGTTTAAAAATGAAATTACTGTTAAATAAAATAGCTGAAAATAGTGGAACACACTGAATACCAATTTGAAGCAGAACTCTCGCAGTTGATATTAAACATAAGTGCAATTTACAATACAAACAAAGGGGAAAATCTATCATAAAAAATTTTACGTTTGTAAAGTAGGCCTTCTGAGGGTTTTTGTTTTCATTAGAAATAATGTGTTGCATAAACGTGACATTGAAAAAAAGGGAAAGTAGGTGTAAGACATCAGCACATCCCATTACAGTCATTAAGTCAAGGAACAATAACATTTTAATTTGAACAGAATTGTCCATGCAGAAATCAAAACAAACAAAAACAGAAAATACAGCAAAGCACAGCACTGTATGTCTGTATGTGTTGGTATCCAACAGTCACTTCATTGAGGGATGTCGCTTTGGAAACAGAGTAGAAAGATGACTCTTCAACAGGCCGCCAACTCATGACTAGTTTCTTGTCAACGGCCTTACAACCTTTGTTAACTAGTGGGGTGGCAGCTGTGTTGGTCTACTCAAGGTCCGGCATTTCTTGAACAGAGAAAATTTTACATATAAAAGTTGAAGGAAATGGGAGTGATTACATTAAAACAAATGAAGGTGCCACAGAAAATTTGGAAGAAGCCAATTCATATTCAAATGCATACTTGGAAATTATAATTTGTTGTTCCAAATTACACCTTACTTTAGTGAGCAGTGTGTCAGTCCTCTGGGACTTTGCCTGATCTTTCTTTGTACTAATTCACATATGGAAGTATATCAACTATATTTCACATGAAATAAACAGTATTGCATCTCTGCCAATAGTGTTGCTTTAATAAGAAAGAAAAAAATACTTTAGGTCAAAACTACTTTTAAGTGAAGATGAAGCTGAGATTAACCATGTAATTTACTTATGTTTCATAGATTTAACTTGATTTTCTTTCTTTTTTACTTTCACTAAGGCAACGGAAGAACTGCTGTCAGAGCTAAATTGGAATAATGGTGGGAATAATATGCAATAAATAGCACAAGGGTATACTAAGAATACAGCTTGTGGTTTAGTGAAGCAGCAGTTGCACCTACCGATAATTATTTCTTATTTAATTATCCACTTCAGCACAATTTGCACTATTCATTATTCATACTTAAGCCATTTTATTCAGTGTTTTTACACCAGTTGTAGTTATAAATGACTAATCAATACAAATTATAAGTCCAGTCTTTCAGAGTTGTACTTACTTTCATCATCACTATCTGCAGAATCATGCTAGAAAAGAGGCAAAAGTAGGATTCTTAGTTCAGAGGTGTATCAGGAAAATGTCAGCTGATCAAGAATCTACTAAAAATATGGGTTCTACAGTTTAGAAAACAACAACAAATAATACAAAAATAAAATAAGTATTTTAAAAAACATACCTCTTCATCTGCACCATCTAAATCAGGTAGATCATCCCCACCCATGCTGTTCATCATCTGGAGAAGATAAAGAAATTACCAGTACCACAACAATTTGTCTGAACACATTTACTTGTTAAGCTCAGTGTTCAACGCACTTACCTCTGAGAATTTGTCAAAACTTGACAAGTCCTCATCTGACTCGTCCTCCCAGTCTTTCCAGTTATTAAAATCCACGCTCAGCCAGTTACACTGAAAAAAATTTGTAATAAAAAATAATAAGCCAATATTTGATAGACAAATTAGGTTATGCTAACTGATCTTAATGTGAATCATTATTTAATACTGGTAGTTACTTAGACCTTTTGTCAGTTAGAATGGTGTATAATAAACATTTGATAAACAGACTTTTCTGAATATTTTAATCATACTGACCTATAAACAGATTAAAGAAGAGGTAAGTGATTTTTATAATTCACTGACACATCGGTGGAAATTAAATTTAAATTTTGATATTTAACACACAGCTGTATATCTTCAAATTCAAAGGCCTGTAGACACATTTGTTATAAAAGGTTTTCCTCTGTTTCAAAAGGTAATTGTTTTTACGTGGGGTTTTGGAAAGTATTTATTTTTACAGTGTACCTGCAGTAAACATTGATTAATGAGCTCTCAATTTGGAAATGGTTGAAAATTGAACGAAGAAAAAAAAAAAAAAAAAAAAAAGCAATAAAAAATAAAAAAGCAAAAGCCCAAAATGTCAAAGCACCTTGAGTGAATACAATACTGAAGTTTACACCATGCAACTTTTGTGCAACAATTTTTTTACACTGGAAACTCACGTCTGCTGGCTTCCTTCCTTACATAGATAACTTTACTAATTACCATTTATAATGTATGTGAATGTTTTTGTTCAGTGTCCTGAGATATTCTCATTCAACCTTTATTTAGACAGGTAAATCCCATTGAGCCTCGAGGACTCATTTACAAGAGAGACCTGATTTCAACAAAGAAAGATGACAACAATGGACAACAGCAACAACAATAAACAATTATAAAAAGTCATATTTATAAATTCATTCAACCATACAGATAACAGATAACTTGTTTTGTGACTTGGCACTATATAAATAAACTGAATTTAACTGAAACTATTTGTTCTAGTACATCACTTGGCCCTGTGATGTAATACCATATGGACCATTTCATAGACACAATCCAGTAACAGCCTGATACAAAAGAAGTGTAATGCAAAATTCACACACTAGTCATCGCATGAACTTCCAAAGATATTTCAGAGGTTTAAGCTGTTTTAGATGGACAAACAAATGTAATGGCTCAATTCTAAATATTGGTTAGTTTTATTTCCCCATCATAAATCCTTAATAGGCTATTTCATTGTTTTTTTGATGCCTCAAATTGTGCCCTGTCTAGGACACGGCGTGAGAGAACTTTTTTATACCGTCTCTCCTCATGTTTTCTTCCCTTTTCTCATCTAAGCAAAATATTACTCTGAATAATAATGAGGGCTGCGCTTTCATAGTAGCAGCTTCGTGCACTCCGCCCATCTTTCGAACGACTGTATGTACATGTTCTCGTTGCATCTCCGTGCAATGATAAAGTTTATTCTGATTCTGATTCATAATACGGTTTTAAGATACGGCAGCAAATAAAATCTTGTCTTTATGCTGCGCCTGGTTGTTCACAGATTAACCAATCAGAGTCAACAATGTTCTATGACTTTATATGCTTACACAAATAAAGCTAGTACCTTGGAATATTCAAGTGTCAATGCTTAAAATGGTGTGCTACACACTGCCCCCCACTTCACACCTACCTGCCAACATGGTGATGTGACTACCTTTCTTAACAGCTCAGAGTTGCAGCAATAGCAATCAACTTACATCTTCTAATGTATCATTACAAAAATCACACAGATTCTGAATCACACAGCACTTTATGTAATTATATACTGGTAAGACATTGATTGCTTATAAAGAACACAAGATGACAACAAAAACAGGAATATACCGTTAAGAGCAAAAGTTACCTTTGCCTTGTCTTTGGTAAGCCGTGGCCATGACTTCCCAGGTTCTGCTTTTCGTAAACAACACAAGACAGATCTGTCGGTGCGTCTGTGCTTGGAGTCCTGTGTGTTACAGAAAGTTAGAGTTTAATGATGAATTTGACCCCAAAAAAATTTCACATAAAAAATCTGGTCAAGTCTGCAGATGATAAAACTTACTTTAGGGTCAATTTCCCCAAAAAGTTCCAATGTATTGTGATGTTTGACATTATCTGTCCCACTGACACAGCTGTATAATGAAATAAAAACAGGTTAAGACAGTTCCAGTACAAGTCCCAAAAGCTTTCTTCAGTGTCTACATAGACAATGAGTCAAAATCACAAGGATCATATTTTTAAAAACAAATTTCTGGAAAATCTGAGTCAGAATGCAATTTACCTAAATTCCATTTTAGATTTGTCAAAATTTACTTTGACATTTTTACTGTCTTCCACGCAGAACTCTACAAAAACAGAGTCTCTTCTATCATACCACTTTGCTGTTGCAGGCTGCCTAAAGAGGTAAGGAGAGTAAACAAATAGCATTACATCAAAACAAGATATGTCATGTTTCATTAGCTGATTTTCATTAAAAACAAACACGTATTCAGACTGTTAATTACAATAATTGCAGTAGTGTGAAGGTACACCAAGTGTGGTAACTGAGTTTTGTTAAATACATAGTTATACATCACAACCTCCAGTCAATATGCTCACAGAAGTTAGCTGATAGTAAGACGTACGTACAAAATGTGTATGCAAGCTGTATTTGAATGCAACTCCGACAGAGTAATCTTGTTTGTTCTTGACAAAGTTTCTTGCGGATTATGTTAGACGCATTACCAACAAACGTGAGAGGAACGGTTACTTTTAAGTGAGCAAAAAGTGAAACCTCATGAGAATGACTGACACCACCATGCCTGCTAAGTTTACCCTAGTCATGCAGCACGTTGATATTAGCCTGATATTAGCCGCACAGCTAACTACAGCAGAGCTGTTGTTAAGAGACAGATAAAACAAAATAAAAAAATAAGGTACTGAGGTATAATGCGATATTAGGTGACGAGTGATCGATAGGTGGATTTAATAACATCTTTCTCTCTTAGTACGCTACTGCACATAGCTGAGGCTAACTCGTGTGCTAGCTGATTGAGCTAGTGCTAGCTTCTTGATCCGTATTTCTAATATTTAACGTTTAAATATCAGAGAATACAGACTGAGAATAAAACTTACATTCTTAATGTTTAGCAATAAACCTTCTTTGCCGGATGACGAGATTATTAATAGTGTTATCTAACAAGAAAGCCCGGAAAAATGACAACCGAAACCTAAACAGTTAAGTGGTTTACAACCAAAGCGCTGGAATTTTTTCAAACCTCGTGTGACTTCCATGAAGTCTCGCGAAATCGACGTTTACGCGCCTGCGCAAACCATGAGCACGACGTGAAACAATTCTAGACCGAGTGCCATAAGCGGCACAACAGCGCCACCAGCAGGATATGTTATTGTTTGCAAGTGATTATGTTCTAATTAATCACTGTAATTTAGGGTCTTGCTTTCTAATTTTTATGGTTAAGTTGCTTCATTTGAGGCCATTTTGTTCTCACAAATCTTGACCTGTCTATGATCTACCTCATTTCTAAAAATTTTGCTTCAAAGAAGCCAGACTTTTGAAGTGGTGTTAAGCAATATTTTCTCTGACTTTCAGAAAGTACAAAGTTTTTCTATGCACTATGCTGCTTTTTCAGTCGTTTTGTTGTCCAACAATTTGTACTTCATTTATTTAGACAAACTTATTTTTTGTAACACCCTAAGTCTGATGTGTGAATCTTTGAAATGAAAAAATGTTCCTAAACCTAAGGGATAAACTACTGCTTTGTCTCTACATATTAAACAACTAGAAAGAAGCTGATTTTAAAGTGACTGTTCAGAATGTTATGACCAGCAGCCTATCATGGAGACAAAATCTGTTCCCATTATTTTTTGACGAGTCTTTTAAAATATCAACAAAACCACGTTTGACACATAATTTATATTGTAGCACCAACAATATAATTCTCAGTGAGATTTACAAGAAAACCTTGACATATAATCATCTGAAGGATGATCCATCTCTCAGGTCCCGTGTCAAATTTTTACTTATTTGACCTATTTCTAAGGTCAAATTTAGGCCACCTTTAAGGTATCTCAGGACATTTCTCATTTTAAGATTATAGAAAATTTAAACCAGTAAAACAACACTGGCATAAGTTTGAAAATGTTTTTTTAATGGGTTGCTTTTTCTCTCAAGTTGCTTAATAACAGTTCCCTCCAAAAAGTTACAAATTGATATAAAAATCAGAGAAATATAGGTCCTTTGACTAATAAAGTATATCAGCTTCTGTTGTGTTTGACTTACAGAGATTTTCTCTACAGGTCAATGCAATCACTGCAAAAAGTAAAAAAATAATAATTTAAAGGCTAGTGGAGGAAGCTTGAGCTGATGATTCAACCTAAAACAAAAGCAGAACAAGTGTCACAGCAGAAAACGGCAACCCCAAGCAAAGAGACCAGCACAGTCAGGGGAACAGGAAGTGTTCAGTGTTAGAGAATCAATGACACGTGCCCAATGATATGTCATGAATCACTGGGCACTTTTAAATGGATATACTGTCATTCTTAAACTTTTCTAGTGGATATACTCTGTACCGCGTAACACATAGACCACTGCTTTCTGGATCTCGAGGACCTGGTGCTCATCTTGGAGTTGGAGGCGGTGTACACTGTTAACAGGTCTCAAGTCCATCCCAGGGACACATGGAGACAAACAACCATTCACACTCTTACCCACACATCGGGACAAATTACAGTTACCAATTAGTCTAACATGTATGTTTTTGGAGAAAACCCACATGTGCACAGGGAAAACAAGTAAACTCCACCTATGAGGCAAACCTGTGACCTTCTTTTTGTGGGGCAACAGCTCTAACTAATGCCACCCTAAAAAGAACATCAGTCTCTTTTAGCATTATTGTGTATTTAAAAAAAAAAAAAACACTAATGACATTTGCTCCTAACAGACCCCCAATATAAAACCAGTGAATCCAGTGACCTTACAATCAACTTATCTTGTGTTTAATTCATTATTGATGCAAATACATGAGTAATTCACCAACATGTACAAATAAAGTCTGATAGATTGATTGAAAAGAAAAAAACATTTGTTAAATTTAAATTACCTTCAGGAGCGCTCAGCAGTGGTAATTAAAAATAAATAAATGTTGCTTGCTTTGCTGATTAGTCTTTTATACAGGTTTTCATTGTCAGATTATACACAATAATACAATTGTGTTGTTGAGCTTGATTGCTAATTTTCTGTTGTGTGTGGTCCAGCCGAGTGCTGTAATGACACCACTGATAAGAGATCGAAAAATATAATGTTCAAAATCTGGCTGTGGTTCAAATGACACAAGTCTACACAAATAAATAAAATAGATTGAACCAATTTCTTGAACGGTGCACAGAATTGCACTTCATGTCAACACGTCTTTTTATTTTTAAATTGCACATCAACAGAAAGTGTTCATGATGGACTGTGATGTGAACTGTTGGAGAAATCATTTTTGGTATTACCTCCTACCTTCCAGTCAATGTTTGTTTGTTTTTTCCGGAACACACAAAATTAGATCATTTTAATCAAACAACTTCCTGGTAGAAAAAAGAAAAGAGAAGAATTAGGCCAAATTAAGGAGCAATTTCCTTTCCTGTGAACATTATGACAAAATAAGATTTGTTATATTTATAACTCGGGTGGCGCAACTGGTAGAGCTGCTGCCTCTCAGCGAGCAGGTCCCTGGTTCAAACCCCGGTCCAGGGGCCTTTCTGGGTGGAGTTTGCATGTTCTCTCCGTGCATGCGTGGGTTTTCTCTGGGTACTCCGGTTTCCTCCCACAGACCAAAAACATGCATGTTAGGCTGATTGGTAACTCTAAATTGTTCCTAGGTGTGAGTGAGAGAGTGAATGGTTGTTTGTCTCTATGTGTCCCTGTGATGGACCAGCGACCCGTCCAGGGTGTACCCCGCCCCTCGCACAGTGATTGCTGGACATGGGCACCAGCGACCCCCGTGACCCAAAATGGAATAAGCGGGTAAAGATAATGGATGGATGGATGGATATTTATAACTCATCTGAGAAATTATTTTTTTTATAAAAGACTAAATCAGACTCTGAAACTGCTTCAGTGAAGAGATGCATCACATGGTTTACGTCTTGATAATCTGCCGTGGAGCTGTATAGGCCTAATGAATATAATAATACAAACAGAATCTTGTATTCCTTCTTAAACATCTTCTCCGAGATTCTCCACTAGTTCACTTCTGCCATACAGACTACAGCCAGTCTAAGGCTTCTGTGGTTTTCGTCCAATTCAACCAAGTGCTTTGTTTACAATGACTGTGTACCCCCATTTCTGAATTACTTGAGCAGATAAACTCATTCAAACGGTGACATTCTGCAATAGTTCAGGATAACCTTTTTGAATGTTTGATTCCATGCTTCGCAGTGTGCACCTTTAATATGGCATCCATGCCCATGAGTGCAAATACATTTCTGAGCACAAGTACGCAGCATGACATTGAAGGTAATCATCTGTATCTTGATCAGCCATTTTTGTACAATTCAAAAAATCCTAACAATGTTCTGAGTAAAGTAAAAGTTGTGGAAAGTGACTTATTTCTTTGGGGCAGCTAATGGTTAGCACAGTCATTCTCCAATGGAAAATTTTTGGGGTTCGACTCCACCAGCAGTCACATGCTGAAGTATCCCTGGGCAAGACACTGAACCCCTTATTGCCTCCGATGTGTGTCACATTGGCGTATGAACATGATCTAAAGCAGTGGTTCCCAACACTGTTCCTTGAGGGACACCATCCTACATGTTTTAGTTATTTCCCTTCTCCAACACACCTGATTCAGTGATTTAATTACCGTACTTCCTCTCGTTCTGCTGAAGCCTGTTAACCACCCATTTAAAATCAGCTCTTGGCAGGAAACAACTAAAACATGCATGGTGTTCCTCAAGAACCAGGGTTGGGAACCCTTGAAAAGCACTAGTCTTTGTGTAGCTATAGTAGAGTGCTGTGGGTGAATGAGGGTAAAGATTGTAGTGTAACGCGCTTCTTTGAGTATCTTAATAAGACAGAAAGGCACTATATAAGTACAGTCCATTTACCATTTATAATCACACATTAAATGAAAAAAATGCACAAATTAATATGTGAGACAGAATTAAATCCTGTATGTCATTGCTCTATTATAGTTTTTTTTTTTTTTTTGGCTTGAGTACATCTTCTGTATCATATGCTTTATTTTAATTCTAATAAAAAATAATATAAAAAAATACAATAATGTAGTTTTTCTTATAATGTAAAAAAAAAAAAAAACATTTTAAAAAGTGTCCTTTAATAATCAAGTGGATATTCCGTATGGTGTGTGGGCTTGTAGTAATTAAATATATTTATTTATTTTATCTTACAAACTGTGTCAGCTTGGTGACGAACATCCTGTAGTCCCAGTCCTCCCCAGTTTATTGTGGGTTTTCACCGAGCAGCTCACCAGTGAAAAAGATGCGATCATTCTGATAGGGAGCGCCTTTTTTAAAAAAATTATTATTATTATCGGAGGGGGATTGCATGACACGGTGACAGGGTGGTCGCGCCAGATAAGAGGAAGAGCAGAAAAATGTAATTTCCTTGGTGTGACGCCTTCACGGCCCAAGGACGTACGAGGAGAAGCAAACAGAGGCGAGACTGACGAAGAGGAGGCGGCTCCACGGACCGAGCCGATGCGTTTGCATATCATGGCTTGAACACGGAGGAGTCTGTTCATGATAAACTGCAGCAGCTCCTCGTGAGGAAGAAACAAATAAAGGCCTCCCGCCGATGGAGCTCCGAGCTCTTTAATCCACGCAGAGACCTCCCTGACAGCCACGGAGAAGGGTGAGGCGTTCAAATGCGCCGTTCACGATGAATCTCAGGATGTTTCCCTCTGTGCTGCGGTGAATTGCTCCGAGCATAAATACATGCCGTGTTTGCGCCTCTCCATCACTTTGTCTCCTTTTTCTCTCGTCAACAGGACACTTTATGCGCAGTTGAAGGGATTTATGGGGTCACAAGGTATCGTTTTGTTTTAAATATGCGTCTGTCTTCAGTGTCTTTATGTTTTTTCCCCCCTCATCTGCTCACAGTTTTAGTTTTCTTTGTTTACTGTCTGTATATCCCAGCAGCTAATGTGTCCTCAGCCTGACTGCTGCTGAATGTTGAATAGAAAATGTGAATGGACTTTGTCATGCTCTGTTTAACATGTTTTTTGGTGTTGCTTCTGTTTGAATGTATCTGATCACAACAGAGCGAGAGGATAAAACTCTTACAGCCATTTCTGAGCAAAAGCTATAATACCCCATAATGCATATCCTAAAATGAACTGTTGCATCACCATAAAAAGCGTTTTACTCAGTTTATCAAAATGTAAATCATTGGCGGAGTTCAATTTGTGACTTTCCTGTGCTCCTGTGTGCAGTTTCCTCTGATGAGATGAGTGTGCGTGCTGGCCAGGGCAGTGATGAGGTGCTGGTTTCTCAGGCGGTGTGGGATTACCTGGCTGCAGCTGGGCGGCCCTGGCTCATTGACTTCCAGCACAAGCAGGGGATGAGCGCTGGGATCATTAGGCGAGGTGAGAGGGGGGGCTGCTGTGCTGTACGGCTGCAGCCGGTGGAAGGCTTGAGGAGCGCCAGATCCGGAGCGATGGATGGACCTATCTCCAGTGAGACGCGAAAAGCCTTCATAGACTTATGCCGATGTGCACGCAAAGAAATGAGCAAACAGGAAGGGGGCCCCAAGAGGAAGAGGGTCCTGCTGCCTTGTGTTGGGGCCCTGGACCAGAATGTAGAGGGGAGCATGCTCCAGCCTCCACCTCCCCAACCCCGGCGCTCCCAGAGACAGCAGCAGAGGTTCAGGAAGCCTGCTGATGAGGAGGCGTGTGCTGCCCTCCACGAGGCAGCCCAGAAGAAGGACCTGGACTCTGGCATGACCTCCCATAGTGAATCAGAGGACAGTAACACTTGTTCCATTTGCATGGGGGAGATCGTGGAGAAGACCATTCTTGAGAAATGTGGCCATTGGTTCTGCCATTCTTGCCTGGATCAAGCCTTTAAGGTGAAGAAAGCGTGTCCAGTGTGTCGACTTGTGTATGGTCAGCTAGTTGGGAACCAGCCCGCCAATGGTTCAATGATTGTAGAGCGAGATCCTGATCTGGGACTTCCTGGCCATGAAGGCTATGGGTGTATCTGCATCATCTACAGCTTCCCTCCTGGATTACAGACAGTAAGTAGAGCTATATCGTAGAACCAATGCTCTGTTAGAGTAGGATATTTTATGAATCATTTATTTAAACTGTAAAACTCAGGTCACATTTTGGAGAAAAGATATAAATGATCAACTTCTTAAAGAAACTTACTTTTTACAGTATGGTAGAATAATACAACCTTTTTTTCATTTTATTGGTAAAATTGTAAAAATGTTTCAACATTTTTTTCTAATTAAATTATTTATTGTTAGGACTTTGACAAGAGTTCAAAGAGCTGTGACTAATGTGTTTTTACTTCCTTGACTGGGAGTAACCTCCTGTGCTCTAAGGGGAATTCAAACAGGTTTTGCAGTATCACGCTTCCTCTTTCCAAGGTTTGTGTGGGTACAAAGCTGTAACACTGGACATTTTGTTAACTGGAAATCAAATACAAACAGTTGTAAAGTCCCCATATACTGTACGTCATCCACCAAAATGTTTCATTGAGCGAAGAAACTGCTGTCTTAATGGATGTAAATGGACACTGAAACTTGCAAACTCACTGGGAACTCATGTGATCCAGGTTAAAAGAGCTGCTGGTTTCTTTATTTTAAAGGGTTGTCACAGCTGATAAGTTACTAACTACTAATGACCATTTGACAGAACACTTCAAAAAGGACTGGATTATCCCTCTAAAAGTTGTTGCCCTGTCGGCCTCTTACATGCACTAAGATGCAGTCAGAATCAGAATAAGCTTTATTATCATTGTACCGAAATACAGTGAAATTATGTTCGTACAGTCGTCCGAAAGATGGGCAGAGTGCACGTTGCTGCTGCTACTGAAGTGCGGCCACTTATCCTTTTTCAGAATACTTTTTTTAAATAGAAAAGGGGAAAAAGCCATGAGGATAGAATAGTTGTATTACAAAAAAGACCTATTTACACCATGCCCTATCAGTACACGATTTAAGACATAAAAAACTCTGCCAGCAAGCACATTTATAAATATATTACATATGCATTTGACGGCAAGGCAGTGATATTTGTCCATGAAGCACTTCCAGATAGTCCATAGTCCTGATAAGATGTTGGTCAGCCGGCACAGTTCTGATAAGCCTCCACAGAAGTTCTCGGGGGTGGGGGTTTGCAATAGATGAAGCTTTTCCTTAGTTTACACATATCCCAGGAGAAATTTGACAAGTCGGCTTGTTTTCGAGGCCAACCTGGGGAGTCAGATTCAGATAAGCCACAATTGTTGATTTAAAAAAAAATAGCCAATACATACCAGCGCGGCCCGCCAAATATTGAGGTCTTGTGGTGAACGTCATTCCATGTAATGACGTTTGCAGGCCTTATCAATATTACACCTATCTTGACTTCTTCCTCTTCGTTGTCACCAACAGCTAGAACATCCCAACCCTGGTGTTCGATACCCAGGAACAGACCGTGTGGCCTACCTCCCTGACAGCCCTGAGGGGAATCACGTGCTGGGGCTGCTGCGCCAGGCCTTCGAACAGCGCCTTATCTTCACCATCGGTACCTCCATGACTACAGGCCTGCAAAACGTCATCACCTGGAACGACATTCATCACAAGACCTCAATATTTGGCGGGCCGCGTTGGTATGTATTGGCTATTTTTTAAATGCCTGAAATTCTAATGTTTCTTACAAAGAAATACAGTCAGTCAGGAATGGCACTCTGTTTCAGTAAACTGATTATTGATGACTTTTTATGTCTCCTTACAGCTTTGGTTACCCAGACCCCACGTATTTGGTGCGAGTGACTGAGGAGCTCAGAGAGAAAGGCATCACAGCAGACTGACCAAAAAAAAAAAAAAAGGCAGATTCTTCCGGGACTATTGGACTTTCTTTGTCTTCAGCTTCAGGTTTTGCTCTGTGTCTGTCTGCCACATAGACGATGGCTTAAGACAAAAACCTGACAAGACAGGCATCTTATGCTGCAGAAGAGCCCATATCTCCTCCACTGACTGTTCCGCCTTGTTCGTTTTTTCTGCAGCGATAAGCTACTCCACCGCCACATGTGGAAGAAAGCAGAAACAGTTTGAGTGCAAATCCTCAAACCGTCACTTTTGGCAACTGGTCTGACATCGGATGCACTTATTTAAGAGTTTGTTGGAATTCATGGTACTTGTACATTAGTTGGGAAATCTTAAGTTTATTCTTTGTTTAAAGACAGTTTATGTTTTATTAATGTTTTCCCTTTCCCTGAGTGTTGGGGCTGTGGTAGCTCCGGTAGTCAGTGCTGCAGTTTTGTAGACCTGAGGCTGCAGGTTCGAGCCCAGGTTGCGTCAGGAAGGGAAATTGTCATAAAACACTTGCCATATCTTACGTACAAGTTCGCTCGCTGTGTCAATTACTAGACATTTTTTTCCCGATGCTTACATTAGGTCTTAAAAGCACATATCCTTGGTTATATTTCCCAGCAATGTGCGTTTGAACAAGTTGGATTACTAATTACTTTTTGTAATGATTGAGTTTTGTTCATGTGGCAGAACAGCCCTGCTTTTTCAAATCAGATTTAATATTTTGATGTTAACACAATCTAAAGCACTCACAGGCACTTTGGTAAGTTAGTTAGGTTTTTCAGTGAAGTAATTTGGGTTTTGCTTCCTTTTTTGGTGAAGGCTGATCTTGGCCAACAGGTTTGTGGAGCCATCAGCTATTTGCTGGCAACAAGTCAATGCCAGCAGCTTTGAAAATGTCATTTGTGTGTGATCTTCACCTCCAGACCTAGCTCTACTTAAATAAGAGGAATGTTTAAGCGATGTCTCACTGCATCACTTTTTGGCATGCATTGAAAAGTTTCCTCTGGGTTTTTTCCAGTTGTAACTCCTGTCGTTTTAAGATGTCTCCCAGGTGTTGAGCTCATTACCTCACTTGTAACATGCTCCTCTGATTACCAGATTTTATGACGATGTCAACTACAAAGGGCATATAGACCACTTGAACCAAATCAAAGGCACAAAAGCTCTTTAAATATCTATGCTTCGGTCCCTGTCAGATGGGGAAATTTGTCTATTGATCTTATTTAAAATGAAGTAACTTAGATATTTAATGAAATCCAACCCACAACAACAAAGATGGGGAAAATGTTGCAGGAACAATTGATTTAAGGTGGGATACTGATCTCATTTTGTTGTGCCTTTCTTATAGTCATGTTTGATTTTAGAGAAGTCGAGCATGATGGCTTTAGTGAACGAAACAATGTGTTTCAACGTTATTTAATAGTTAAGAAACTTTGTTTCTATACTATCTGGCAGTTGGTACTAGGGATGCACAATATTGGATTTTTGGCCGATATTCGATATGCCGATATGTTAAAATTTATTTGGTCGATAATCGATACCGGTATTTTATATATGGTCCTTTGTCAGAACATATCCCTCTTATTTGCTACAAAAAATGTGTAACAGCTGTAAGAGCTGGTGACATATATTCAGTAACAGCCATATATGCAATGCATAGCACTTTAACTTATATTAAATAAAAAGTGTTAAATGTTATTAGCATTGGTCACCTGCGATGCTGTCTCACTTGTGGAGGCTTGTTCCAGGTTCCTAGCTGCAGTGTGGGACCCTCTGCACTCTTGTGCATGAAGGACAGCCTTCTTAAGTTCAAAGTTTTTGTCTATCCATTGTGCCGTAGGTCTAATCATGCTAACGGGGCTAACACGACGTCCAGATGTCTGTGGTAAAACTCACCCAAGTGCTATCGGCTATTAGCTTCTCAATGACATCGGAAATGATGGCTTGTAACTCGAGTAAGGCTACGTCGGAAAAATATCTCTGACTGGGGACGATGTAGCGAGGCTCAGCGTAGTCCATAAATCTTCAGAATCTGACATCCTCAATGGAAAAAAAAACTTCCACACCACATTTAGAAACTTCCTCTCCGCTGTGAGATCAGGTAGGCGCGTGTGACGTCATCACCTTGTGCTGCCGCTGCAGGCATCCTTGTCACTGGGTTGTCATACAAAAACAGCGTCTTTTATATCGGTGAGCTCTTTTGATGGAATGGCTGATGTCAGATATTGAACTTTAACGCTAATATTGTCCGATACCATGCCGATAATATTGTGCATCCCTATTTGGTACAAATGTTAGTTCGTAAAAATGTACATTATTGTTTTACCAAATTTTCTTCTTCCTCAAAAAAAAAAAAGAAAAAGAAAATCTTCCAAACGATGACCCTTAAATAAGATTCAGTTCAGAAACCTGTTTGGCTAAATAGATCACATCAGCTCATCTGATACTTTGAATTTATTATTTTTTTGCTCCCTTTTGTTTTAGTTGAGGGACCAACTGAGATGTTTTGGGACACAGGATTGTAGTTTATTAAAGGTACTGTACAAACCTTTCTATGCATTACCTGACGGGATGGGGTCAAAGGAACATGTGGACAGAGGGATCCCCCGAGTTACTATACGATTGTAAAGGAAAACTGAGTTTTGCTTTTCTAATTGTGTTGATTCGTACTTTGTTGATATCCAGAAATATGAACCCTGCATTTTAATACTTGAATAAAAAGTTCAGTTTGGGTTTGTCTGAGACAATAAATGTGGGTTCTAAACAAACAAAGTGTGTCTTTTCACAACTAACTCTCAAGAGGAGACACTGGGAATGAGTTCACGATGCACAGAAGACTAACTCTGCATTACAAATATAGGATGTTCTTGTTTTCTAGTTAACAAAGGAAACAGATTAAAACACAATTTATCAGCATAAAACTTTTTCCTTTTTTTTACAGACACAAGAGCTATTAGACTGATGTAGTCCCAGTTGTCACAAATAGTAATTTAAATGTAAATTTTCTGGACATTTAATGTCTGGGAAATTTAAATAAATTTGTAACCAAGATAACTGGACATTTTTCTAACCTTCAGGCATCAAGCCACAGTGCAATGGCATTAAAATGATGCATCATACCATAAAGTAGGAATACATTTGAATAACAGTAAACTGAGAGGGTTCCATTGCTTTTTGAAATGTTGGTGGACTCTGAGAAATGAAATGAAGCTATTGTTTTCCTGCTGGCATTTATGGTGAACATAAATTTAGGTACTTGCAGATTTATTTTACAGTGAGCTTTCTTTAGGGTCAGGAATCTAAACTCTCCTACAAATGTTTTAATGAACAACATAAGCACAATATCGTATTATGTGTAAAACAGAAAAACCTGTGTTGTGTTGTATTATTTTTAATATTGTGATGACGATATGGTGGCTCAGTTTGTAGAGCTGCTGCCTTCAGCGAGAAGGTTGTCGGATCGAATCCCAGCCGGGGGACTTTCTGGGTTGAGTTTGCATGTTCTCTCTTTGCATGCGTGGGTTTTCTTTCAGTACTCCGGTTTCCTCCCACAGACTAAAAACATGCATGTTAGGCTGACTGGGAACTCTAAATTGTCCCTCGCCTATGTGTGGGCATCAAGGCCACTGAGAGTGTTGAACTGGCCAATTATACTATTAGCAGCAGAAAATGAATATATGGTACTTGAAATATAGCAGTTTGATTTATTGCAGTCCAAGAGGTCCTTTTCAATATTGATATTGCTCTAATTGACATTGCAATGACAATAATTTTTTATGTTATCGTGTAACCCTAAATGTATAATTTTCTTTATTTAATTTCTGACTACAGTATTCCATAATTCATTTTAAAGAAAAGGGGTAATAAAAATAAATCATTCTAATATTTTTCACACATTCCATTTCCCCTGTCCTGTAAACAAAAAGGTACATTTATTAAACAACAACAACAACAACAACAACAACAACAACAACAACAACACAGACAATTTCCTAGAAAATTAAGCCATGGATTACATTATGTAGTTGTTATTGTCATTTTCATCATTATCCAGCTCTTTAACTCAAATCAAATTGGCACTATTCATCAACTGAACAAGCAGGTCATCATATTCATGACAATGGACCTGAGGTGGATTTCTGTCTAACCATAGATTGGGCACCAAATTAAAATCACCCCCAACTATAACTTTATTCGTTGTATAAGAATGCATACTATCTGTAATACGTTTACATAAGTCAGATGTCAAAGTTTGGTTTTAGCCTCTTTCATTGTAACCATAGACACCAAGATAAATTTTTTCACCATTAATTTCTGTTATCACCATCAGTCAGTGCCCATTTGTTTCAGTAGTATGATTTATAATGTTACCTGGAAATCTGTTAAACAGAATTATAACACCTGCTGAGTGTGACGTCCCACCCACTGAACATTAGACGTCTAATGGACGTCCAGATTACGTCTATATTGGGTCCGTTAGTCGAAGACCAATTCTGGACGTCCCCCGACGTGCAAACAAGGTCCACTTTTGGACGTCTAACCATGACCGCATTTGTACGTCAACATAACGTCAGACTTGGAGGTCATATAGACATCATTTTTTAACATGCATTTCCTCTTTTCTTTTTTTTTTTTTTACAAATTTTAGTAGTTACCTTATTATTTATTTGAAGAATATCGTTATTATTGTTATTATTATTCAATTTTATTCCGCGTTGAATTACGGAGGTAACATTAATTTTCAGTAGGTGGCGGTACTTGTGAAGTTGTTTACTTTCTGCCATAAAAAACACGAAGAAGAATTGTATTCGCTGGCTTCGGAACCCGAGCGTTATGATTGGATTGGCGGAGTAGCACGTGATCATGTTCCAACCAATCAACGCCACTCTTGCTGAACCGCGCTTCGTTCATAAACCAACAGTTAATATATTATTTTCCTTTCTGTCGGTGCTCAGCTTGTGGTCATTTTTATCGGAGCTCATCTGTGTTCAGTTCATATGTCACGGAATTCAACTGCCTGCACTAAACTTGCTGCGATCCATTCAGAAGTTGAAGGTAATTGGTT